AAAGCCGGGGTCAGTAAATCCGAAATGAATCCACCCCCCTCTTGTACAAGAATTTGTTTCTTTTTCTTATATGGAACACCAGGGTCGTTAAGATCACATATTGAGCTTTGGTAAGGTAGCAGATGATTCCGTTCTTGTTTTGTCGTAGGGATGTACTTATACAAAATATTATGGATCACTTGAATAATTGCGTGAACTTGCTCGGGTGTAGCAGTGCAAAGAAGGAAGTTCCTTTTGGTGTTCAGGAGAAGACACCAAGAGTTGGAGATAACCAAGATTGTTCTTCACAGCACGTGTATGAAATTTTATAGCGTGTAGCCGGGTGGCTAAGCTATTGATAGTCGGATAGTTTGATAGCTAAGCTACCGATAGCCTGATAGCTAAGCTATCGATAGCCTGATAGCTAAGCTATCGATAGCCTGATAGCTAAGTTATCGATAGCCTGATAGCTAAGCTATCGATAGCCAAGAAGCTAAGCTATCGATAGCCAAGAAGCTAAGCTATCGATAGCCTGATAGCTAAGCTAATGATAGTCTGATGCACGTGGTCTGAATGTGTATAAGAAGGACTGCAATCTCTAAGTTCACTCATAACTGAGAAGACTCGAGATGACTCGCATGTGTTTATTGTGCCAGAAATCGGTTCAAAACCTATCGTCTCATTTGTGAGTCGGGTCCACAAAATAAATGGTCCAGAACGCACATACTGGTTTCAGCAAGGAAAGATGATCAAAAATGACCTGGGTCATCTTTTCAAACCCACCACCTCACAGACGGAAAATGGTCCAACAGATATTTGTAGTAAATTCCAGTTGCTGCATCCATTTACTTGTATGGTGGGAGGAACTACAGGATGTGGAAAAACCTTTTGGGTACAGCAGTTATTGGAGCATGCGCAAGTGATGATCAACCCTCCACCTCAGCGTATTGTATACTGTTATTCTCAATGGCAACCGGCCTAWTTAGAAATGTTAAGAACCGTGCCTGGCATTGAATTTATCAGAGGTATTCCGCAGGAACTGGATCAAGATCATTTTTTTGATGTAAATGTACGAAATCTTATAATGATCGATGACCAGATGACCGAAACTGGGAATGATAAGCGAGTTTTAAACTTGTTCACTAAAGGATCGCATCATCGCAACCTGAGTGTCATCTACATGGTACAGAACATCTTTCATCAAGGAAAAGTTAATCGAGGCATTAGTTTGAATTGTCATTATTTGGCTATATTCAAGAATCCAAGAGATAAACTTCAAATTCTCAATCTAGCCAAGCAAATGTATCCTGGAAAAACTGAATATTTTCTGCAAAAATATGAACAAGCTGTGAGTAGACCTTATGGATATCTCTTCACTGACTTGAAGACAACCACCCCAGACGACTGCAGACTGAGAACCAATGTCTTCCCTGGAGAGAAGAAAGAGCAAGAGAAAAATGTACCTGAGGAATTGCTTCATTACCTTTGTAGGCAGAATCTTGTACTACCCCCAGAGATTTCGAGAATGCAAAGCTTGAAAGATCAAATGAATACCCTTCTAAAGGATCCTAATATGGACAAAAGTCAAAAAGCAAGGCAATACGTTCAACTCCAGAACAATTATCTG